TCTTTAAAAAGAATGAAGTCATTTTGTATAAATTGCGTTGGACAGCTTTGACGTATTGTGGTTTTTATTCCTGTGAAACTTTTTAATACATGAGAACAAAACAAGTTTGAATATGTTAAATGTATTACAAGTCACTTTCCCTGAGTATTAAACAAACATTATTTCTAAAAGTTCTTCCCTCTTACTTTTTAATGTTAATAATAATAGAAACAAACATGGTTGTAAGTCTTGTTTCAGTTTATATAAATGGAAGTTGTACTCTGCCCCTCCTTTCTGCCTGCTGGATGTAAGCGCTGGTGACGGTTTGGCACATGCCTTTCCCCCCTTGTCCTGTGCTCAGGTAGACAGTGTGCTGTCCTCTAGGGCTCAAAGGCAAGTTGCAGAACAGGCTCGACCCATCTGGGGGGGGTTGGGATTCTAGGGGACCAGTAATAAACGCTTGTTGTCCACCCAAGTGGGAAGCACTTTAGAGCCAAATGGAGATTAAAACGTAACTGATGAAGGTGCAGAGCTAAGCATGACCGGAGGTCTGAGGGGAGCAGAGGTTTCAGACAGATCCATCCCAAAGCCCAAGCTGAGCATGCTTGGTCCCTTCCCCAGATGTGCACCCCCCATCCCACCTCAGGTAAGTCGCTGCCTCTCCCCTGTGAATGAGCTGAGCAGGTGCGGGGCAAAGAGGCCTAGCTGTGTGGCAGTGTGAGGACACGGGGAGAGGTGTGCGTGTGCACAGACACACACAGGATGGTGTATTTGTAAAGCCCATACCCTGTTACTCACAGCAGAATTCTGGAAGAGTATTCATTGCCTGTCACCCCTTTACTTCTGTACTTCAGGGATTTTAGTTTGGTATAAGACTGTGCTCTGTTTGTAATCATATTAATAATGAAACTTAGAGCAGTAGTCCTTTACTTCCCTCCTAAAGCTTGTTAAAATGCTTTATTTTGAAGCTGGAGATGAAATAGTGGACCTCACCTGTGAATCTTTAGAGCCTGTGGTCGTCGACCTGACTCACAGCGACTCTGTCGTGGTAAGTGCTGGAGCGTGAGGATTGCCCTTTTTTGGCTGTGAGCCCCTGGCCTGCACGTCTGAAGGCCTTGGTCACAGGCTGCAGCTTGGGCTAAAGAAAGCATGCTTTCAGTGACTGGTGCTTAAGATGGAAAATGTTTCAGGAAAATCATTTGTTGTGACTTTATTGCTTAAATTAATCACATTAGTAAATCTGTGCGACCCTGTCCTTTACATAGCTGGCCATAATGGCTTTTGGGGAGAACTCTGAGGCCCGATCTCTCTTTGGTCCCCGATTCTACACTTAACACCAGCTGTGTGACCTTGGGCAAGTTACTTAGGCTCATTCACTTTGTCCATAAAATGGGGATAATGCCATCCATGTCAATAGAGTGTTGTGAGGATTAAAAGAGATCCTGTATTTGAGTGCCTGGCACCTAACGTGGTGCCCAGTAAAGCTGAGTAAATGTGAGTTTACGCCCTCACGGCTGGTGGGAATGGGGATATTTGCTCAGCACTGCCCGTGGGAAATCTCTCGAGTCCCAGAAGCAGCTGCCTCGGAGGATGCAGGCCCCCTGCATTGCCACCTGATGCCTTGGTTGTGTCGTGCCTCCAGGGAGGGTGGCACCTGGGAGGCTGCTTGTGCCCCCTCACGCAGGGAGCATGCCTGCCCCTGTGCAGCCCTCGGGAAGGAGACCTGGTCTGGTCAGGGGAGATGAGGAGAAGCGGTTCTGGCAGCCTGGCTCCACAGGTCAGGGGCGCATAGCTGTGTGGGGGTCTGGGAGTCTGCTCAGCCCACAGACCCACATCCTGAGGACGCACTGGCCTCTTGGGATGCTTCTGCAGTGCCTTTTGATGCAGTGTGCAGTTGTATGGAGTGGAGGTGGTGGCACCCTGGATGGTCTTGGGCCAGTAGGGGGCAGGTGCTGCTGAGGGCTGCGGTTTGGTGGGGCGAGTGGGGTTGCTAGGAGCTGAGTCTTCCCCTTGGCCTTGGGGCTGTCCTGGCTGTGCTTAGAACTGTAGACTAGGGTTGCACTGAGGAGCTTCAAGACTTTAAAAGGAGAAAAGAGCGAGGACAGGGAACTGTCTTGACAAATTAAGAGATTTAAACTCTGGTCAGTCTGAAACTGCTGGGCTGTCCTGTGGTGTGTCCTTCCCTCTCATTCCTCCCCTCCCCCCATCCCAAAGGCGAGGCAGCTGCCCTTGCTGCGTCATCAGACCATCCCCAGCAGATTTTGGGTGAATGCTTAGGGGTCTCCATGGCCCCCAAACAGGAGGCAGTAATTTCCCTGGAGACCAGTTGGAACTTTCTGAGATAAGCCTGAGCAGGTTTAGCTGTAAGTGGTCCCTTCCTGGGCCTGATTAGTGTGATTGCTAAGGCAGGGGTCCCCAACCCCTGGGCCGCAGACCAGTACTGGGCTGCGGCCTGTTAGGACCCAGACTGCAGAGCAGGAGGTGAGCAGCCAGCAAGCAAAGCTTCATCTGGGGCTCCCCATCGCTCCCCATCGCTCGCATCACCGCCTGAACCATCCACCTGCCACCCGCCACTGGTGCGCAGAAAAATTGTCTTCCACAAAACCGGTCCCTGGTTCCAAAAATGCTGGAACCGCTGTTCTAAGGTACACACATATTGGGTTGGCTGAAAAGTTCGTTCCGGATTTTCCGTGACATCTTATGGGAAAGTACCCAAATGAACTTTTTAACCAAGCCCATACATACAGCTTTGCTGCTGCTCCCTGCGGGCTCCCACAGGTTCTGGAAAGGTAGCTTGATTTGGTACCGTGGCTGGAGCTTCAGCCCAGTTGCTGATTAACACTTCAAAGTGCTGCCAGTCCTTAATTTCTCCAATATTCAGTGTTCACCTGCAGCGTGCCAGGCCCGGGGGGGGATGGCCAGGATTCCGCTCACAAGACCGCATTTTCTGCCCTCAAGGAGACAAGGATTGGCTTCTGTTGGGTGCCAGACCCACTCATCATGTACCCTTTTACGCCTGGGTTTTGTTTTGATGGCCAGTCTGCCTTCCCTACATGGGCTTCTTTTCTGAGCTTTCCAGCCTTCTTCCGGTTTCTCTGGGTGTGGAGAGTCATTGAGAGACACCAGGATGGGAATGCTAGAGTTGGGGGAGCTGCCCTGGGAGTGGGTGGATAGCCAGGGGCAGGTGGATAGGTGAAGGGGAGGCTAACTTGAGAAGGAGTCCTCGCTTCTCGTCCCAGAGGCACTGGCCAGTTAGGTCGGAGGACTTACCTTCCCATGACCTCAGTGGCCCCAGACATGGAATAATTGTTTTGGACTTAATAGCACCCCTTATTCTAATCATCCTTCATTCTTTATTGGTGTTTAATAAATCCAAATGCCAGTTTTAAAATTTACAGTGAGAAGTATACCTGAGACTGAAATTCTCACTCTCTAAAGCAGATCTACTTGGAAAACCTAATAGTATTATTAACTTATCAAGGGGCATCTATTAGAGGAATTACAAGTTTAGGGTTACCTCAGGCCCCGCCTACAGGAGAGTATGAAATGAATAAATATATCGTTTCCCAAATTGGGGTAATCTTGCCAGTTCGGCCAGAATGCAGGGGGCCAGGCTTAAGTGTACCACTTGAATATCACCCGGGAGTAGCTCTGCATCTTTTACATCCCAGGATCCAGGGACAACGATAGAACTCTTGTGAACTCCCTTAAGACTGGATGAGAAACTACGCAGTTTGTGTTTTTCTAACTGTAAGGAATCCTAAACCCCTGATGAATTAGGAGAAATTTTAAAAGCTGTGAGGTGCAATGAGACCTTGTACATCTCTGCTTTAATATTTTCCCTCAAAATTTAACTTACTTTTGGCATTGCGTACCCAAAAAAGGCCGTCACTGCTGGGTCCTAGGGTATGTATATCTTTGATTGTCACTAGAGAGTGACAAGCTGTTTTCCAGAGAGGATGTACCAGTTTACGCTCCCACCATTGTTGGAGGTTCTTGTTTTTCCACATCTCACTGCCACTGTAACCTTTAGCCAGTCTGGTGTTGTCTAGAGTATCCCACATGGTTTTAATGTGTGTTTTCCCATCACTGGTGGGGTTGAACATCTTTTCATGTTTAGTGGTGTTTCATTTTCCTCTTTGGTGAATTGCCTGTTGCAATCTTTTTTTTTTTTAAACACTGAGTCTTTTTTTCTACTCATTTTTCTGTGTGATTGTCGACCTTGTCTCATTTTCTAAGGAATTCTTTATAAGTTCTAAATATGAGCCTGCCATTAGTTGTGTTTTGAATCTGCTACTCAGAGGCTTGTCTTTTCTCTTTTTGGTTTATGTACAGAGGTTCTTAATTTTAATACAGTTCAGTTTATCAATTTGTTGATGAAAATCCCATACCATAAAAATATGTTCCTCTATTCCAAAAGTTTTACTGTTTTGCGTTTCACATTTAGGTCTATAATCTATATGAGTTTTGTGTATGTTTTTAAATTTGTTTTATTTATTTTTGACTGCATTGGATCTTTGTTGTGGTGCACGGGCTTCTCATTGCGGTGGCTTCTCTTGTTGCAGAGCACGGGCTGTAGGCACGCGGGCTTCAGTAGTTGTGGCTCGCGGGCTCTAGAGCGCAGGCTCAGTAGTCGTGGCTCATGGGCTTAGTTGCTCTGCGGCATGTCGGATCTTCCAAGACCAGGGCTGGAACCTGTGTCCCCTGCATCGGCAGGCGGATTCTTAACCACTGCACCACCAGGAAAGCCCTTTGTGTATGGATTTATAATATTCCCTGGTGTGATTTTGCAAGTCTTTTGTTAGAAGATTTATTTCTAGGTACATAGTATTTTAGGATGCTATAAAAAAATGGTGTTTAAAATTTTCACTTTTTTGTTTTTATTATTTGCTAATATAAAGAAATGCAGTTGGTTTTTCTTTTTTTTTAGTCCAACAGTTCTTAATCTGTAAATCTTTTTTTTTTTAATTTATTTTAATTTATTTATTTTTGGCTGCATTGGGTCTTTGTTGCTGTGTGCGGGCTTTCTCTAGTTGCGGTGAGCGGGGGCTACTCTTGTTGTGGTGTGCGGGCTTCTCATTGAGGTGGCTTCTCTTGTTGCAGAGCACAGGCTCTAGATGCATGGGCTTCAGTAGTTGTGGCCCTCGGGCTCAGTAGTTGTGGCTTGCGGCCTCTAGAGTGCAGGCTCAGTAGTTGTGGCGCACGGGCTTAGTTGCTCCGCAGCATGTGGGATCTTCCCAGACCAGGGCTCGAACCCATGTCTCCTGCACTGGCAGGTGGATTTTTAAACGCTGTGCCACCAGGGAAGCCTTTATTTAATCTGTAAATCTTTGAATTTCTATGTACACAGAACAAGTTTTGGTTCTTCTCTATTTCCCTTTTTTTTTTCCTTGGCCTTAACACACTGGCTAGAAAATTCAACACTGGCTGAATAAAAATGGTGACAGTCATTGACATTCTTGTTTCATTCTAAATCTGAAAGAGTCCTTTCAGAGTTCCACCATTAAATAAGACTTCTGCTGTAAGTTTTTTCGATTAGTTTATATCCTTTACCAGAGTGGAAAAGTTTCTCTATTTCCTGTTTGGCTCTAAGTTTCATCTTGAATCAATGTCGAAATTTAACAATTTCATCTAATGTTGCTTTTTCCCCTGTTGAAGTGGAGAATTACATTGGTTTCTAGTGTTAAACCACTTAAGCATTGTGGTCATGGCATTATCTTTTTATGTTGCTAGATTTGGTTTGCTCATGTTTTATATATAATTTTGCCTCTTTTTATGAGTAAGATTGGTGGTCTGTAATTTTTCCTTATAGAGTTCTGGTATCAGCATATTGGTATCTTTACAAAGTGAGTTGGACACCTTTTTTTCCGTTCCACAGAGGATTTTATAAGATTGGACTGTCTCTTCCATGAATGTTTGTTAGAACTTGACAGTGAAGTACATAACCTAGAGTTTTAATAGGTTTGGTGATTACATTTTTTAGGAATTTGTTGATTTCATCTAAAGTTTTCACTTTTGTTTGCATAAATTTGTTCATAATGTCTTATG